TTCACAAAACCCTGACGTTTTTTCAAATGGAATTGGTTCATAAGATTATTTTTTCTTGAAAAATAATTCAAAGATATTTTTATATAATTTTGAGCCACTCCATTTTGATTTTTTTGGAATAAGTTATGAATTTTTGAAGTTGGGCCAGAAAACTGGATTTTTACCCGATGAACAGTAAAAATCTGAAAATCAACGTTTTTCATGAATTTTTCGAGCCCAAGACCATCCAATGTGGTCTAAAATGGTTTTAATTAAACCCTAAGTAGATCCGATAGTAAGGTGTGACACGACCTGATAATCCTAGGGTCGCGACCTGAGTGCGTTAAGTGAAGCAGTGCATTTTGGAATAGGTTTCTGAGCTTTTACACTTAGGAGGCAGCCACTACAAAAAGAGAGTGTCCCTTTCTACAGATTTACAAGGATAGAAGCCTCCTCCTTTCTCTCTCAAGCCTCCATTGATCTTACACCCAAAACCTCTATTTTTCTTCATCTCTTCATCATTTTCTGCATTTCTGAATCGATTAAACCACTTCAACCACCTTCTTCTCTATTTTTCCAACCCCATTTTTAGCATCAACCATGGCTATTCATTCCTGTAGCTATTGTGAGCAGTTTAAAGACATGAGAGGCTAAACCCTTAGCCTTTTGGTGATGGAGGATGAAGCTTGAGCTCAAGGACCTAATAAGGGAGTTATCGGTCTAAACTTGTGTTTGATTCTGTGTTAGAGATTTCTAGATTTAGGGATTTTTGCATCTGTTTTAGACTTGATTTATGATTGTAAATCTTTTGTTTAGACTATTGAATGTATTTGGATTGGATGCTGTTAATGTTGGTTCATATATACATATTAGTTTTGAATCCCTGTGTTCATTTAATTATCAATGATCATTGGTGATTAATCTGTATGCTTGGTATTCAATGATTGTCAATTGATTTTCTGAGGACATTTGCATCATTCGTTCATATGCACTCTAAGTGATTTCTAACAAATTTTAAGAGATGTTAATTAACGTTGATTAAAGTGAGTTTTCATTAATTAAGACATTAGATCCAAGTGATTACTTGGGGTTTTCTTCAAACTTAGAGATTTTCTAAAACTCCCAATCATTTTAAAGAGCAGTGATAGCTGCGTTTCTATCATCAAGAGACTATTCACCATAATTCTCGTTTAATCCAAAACATTTCTTCATTCAATTAAAATATCGAAAACATTTAATTCTCTGCACTTTTCATTTATTGCACCACCTTAAACAGTTGAAAATCCCCCTTTTTCTTTACCCAAGTCATCATGTTTTTTATTACCAATTTAGACTAGGTTGTTTTCCAATAAAGAGCTCCTCAAGAAGAATGATTGGTTGTGCCCTATATTACATTATTTGGTGCAATCACAATTTTTGACGACTCGAAAGGCGACATTTTGGTTCAATCATAAATTCTTCACCCCAAGTTCTATTGTGATTTCTTTAATGCTTCTTTGAAATACTAGGTCTCAGATAATCTGAAACAAAGCAGGGAAAGGAACGATCTGATACAATGGGACCTTTTATGGGGGTTTCAGTTTGGAAACTTTTGCTTTGGCGTAATAAATCAATACTTGAAATAGAAGCAGACAATAGATTGGCGAATCCTGCTACTTCTATCTTGAATTGCTGGAAATATTTTGTGTATGAATCTAATCAAGGGATAAATCTGCCTGAGGGCCAATTACTATGAATCAGCAAATGGTGTCCACCTCCTTGTGGCTGGGTGAAAATTAACGTGCATGGTACAATGAATCAAAGTTCTTCAAAAGCTAGCTACGGAGACATTGTGAGGGATAATTTGGTAGCTGGATTGCTAGTTTTTGTTACACCATTGGCATTACCAATGCAATAGAGGCAAAAGAATGGGCAGCTTTTAAAGGCTTATCCTTAGCTTAGGACTTTGGTTTTAAAAGAATTATTTTAGTGTCAGATACTTAGGGTCTAGTTGATCTTTCACTTCAACAGAAGCATAATGATAATGGTAGTCTAGTTTTTGCTAGAATAGTTGCTATGCTGCGTTATAGCCGAGAGGTGGAAGTAAGATATATTCAAAGAGATGGCAACAAGGTAGCTAACGCTCTAGGTAAGATGGGAATTTCGTCGTACGTCTGCTCTTTTTTATGCTTGCTCATTTGAGATCACTATTGAGCAATGATTGTAATGGAATTAACTCTAACATTTAGTAATCTGGGCTTTTAGCCCTCCTTCAATGCCCAAAAAACAAAAGGTGACTAATACAAAATATGAGAGAATTCACATTATTTCTTAAGTTTTAAATTGATAAACACTACAAAAAAACATGATTTTAGCGACAGAATTTTCTATTTAGCGACGGACTAGCGACGGAAATGGATTAGCGACGGAATTTGTTTCGTCGCTAATTCCTTTGTCGCTAATTGATTAGCGACGGAATTTTTCCATCGCTAATCCGTCGCTAACTCGTTGCTAACTCGATTTTTTTTAAAATAAAATAAAATGTCACGTGACACCTTTACTAATTGCCACGTCATCACTGAGGACAACCTCCATGTGTCTCTGTCACCTCACCTCTACCTGCCACGTGTGTTGCCACCTCACCTCTGCTGCCACATCACATGTCACCTTTGCCTGCCACGTGTCGCCACTACATAATTCCCTCTTCAAAGTGACTTCTCCATGGCTCGAACCCAAGACCTCCTCTATGCGCGCGTGCGGCTTTACCAGTTGAGCTGCAATGAACCTGTTGACTTATTATGTAAAATTAAATATATATATAATATTATTTTACACAAACAATTATATATATAATTAAAACTAAAAATATACTATATGATAATTTTAATCATAACTATTTTAATGAAAAAATAATTTTTCAATATTTGTTTTATAATTTTTTATTTTTAAAAAAATATTTTTAATATAATTTTAATTTCTAACCGCATTAATCTTGAATTTTAAATCATAAATAATTTTTTTATAAATATTTTTTAAATTTATTTTTTAATTAACATTGATAAGATATACAATTTAATGATATATGTATTATATTACATTATATTATATTATCTATATGTGTTTTATATATTTGAAGAAAATCATTTATAATTAGTCAAAAAATCTTGTTATTCAAAAAATAACTACTATAATAAAATCTAATAAATTATTCTATATAAAAAAATTAAATGATTTGAATAGATTATGATAAACAGTATTCTCCTGCTTGTATATATATCCTATGTAATTTATTTTCTTAAAATTTTTTATATATACCATTTGTTTTTGTATTAAGACCAAAATCAATCTATCATGGGTATTAATTATATCGTGATTAAATTTTATTATTTAATGATTGAAATTTAAAATTCACTTCAATATTAATTTGCATTTATATAAATTTATTAAATCGTTTTGAATTTTTATCATATATTATATATTTCAATATATTTTATATATGATAAAATTATTTCTTTCTTATATCACTTTGTATAAAAAAGTTATTAATATTCTTATTGTATTTTTTAATTATTATTAACAATCAAGAGGAATTTATTTTAACAAAATATAAATAAGTTTTCTAAGAAATTATCTTTCTATTTTCAGTATATACATAATGATAACATGAATGATGACGATATCTTTATTAACACTAACTCCATAAGTATATCAATTTATTTTATAATTAAGAATGTTTTTAAATCATTATATTCTTAATTGTTATAATATAATTTTTGTAAGATTATAATTTAAAATAACGAAATTTAAAATTAGTGACGGATTAGCGACGGAATAGAATTACTGACGGAATTAGTGTGACAAACAATTTAGCGACGGAACTTTCTGACGGAAAAAATTCCATCGCTAATTCCGTTGCTAAATATTTACTGACGGATTTTTTGACGGATTAGCGACGGAATTTAGCGACGGACAAACGGAAAAATTCCATCGCTAATCCGTCGAAAAAATTAGCGACGGAATTTCCGTCGTAAGTTCGTCAGAAATTAGCGACGGAATTTGTTTCCGTCGATAATTAGCGATGGAATTTGTTTCCGTTACAAATTCCATCACTAATCAGCTGTTTTTTTGTAGTGAAATGAAAGCCTACTGTAATAACTTTAATAATCTTGAGCGTGCATAAATCATTTCTATTTAATTCTATTATTTTGGATCATTGAGTTAAATAATAGTATATAAGTTTATCTCCTCATAGAAAGCTTACAGGATTTGTTTTTGTATATATCGTTCATGTCTCATTAGGTCTTTGACATGGTATTCACGTTAATTTATAGGACATGTTATATATTCTCTCCGATATGACCGTAAGAGTTAGTTAAAAGTTTCTTTTTTCTTAAATATAAGACTCTAATCCATGTATTTGTCATTCAAAATTTATATTTTTTTTTCCAAACTATCTATATTAAGTGTATGAATTTCCATCAAAGAGGTAATTTAAATATCAGTAATTAAATAGGGTATTTTGGAAAAATATTATTTATTTTCTTACAAATAACTAATTGGTCTTCTTAATTTTTTAAATTAGTTATATTATCTAGCTCCTACACTTAGAACCACATGGGGTATGACAAGATAAATAAAAAAAAGGAACTGGACAGAGTACTAAGTGTTGGCGGCAGCATGGTACCGACCATGCATTGCAAGGTTTTAACTAATAGTTAAGTAACAATACCAAAAAATACTAATTATTAAACGAATGCTTTTGTTTTTCGTTATATTATATCTTCTTTCAATGCATAAATTGTATTTTATTTAGAGAGCATCCATAATACATTAATGTTTGTTTTATCGATTATTTACCCGAGGAAGTAAAAACTGGCCGAGTCGTTTGTTCAAATTCAAATCAACATTCTTCGATTACCTGCCATATATTATATTACACATTTTATTCCCAGGCAATGCTACACACCAGTAATTTCTGCATATTACCGTGGTAAGTAACGGTAATTTATTTTCCATGCTTGGTGATCATATATTACTGTCCTTAGATTGACTAAAGAAAACCCTTTTCTTTGCAGGACTTGATAGCATCATCATACATATCATCGACCCCATGCTTTAACTCGAATCCTGTGTCCTGGAGCTTTTTGTATGACAGGCAAGGATACTTCTTATCATTGTCGACCTTTGCCGCTGTAAAATTACTGCAAAATAAAATAGGAAAATTACTACATGGGAGAATCGCACCCCTCCGGTTGTTAATATATGAACTAATTATTAAGTTGATCTTAGTCCTAAATATAAGATATATTTGTCATATTTATCAATTTTTTTAAATTACCCCTACTAATACTCCATCAACTATAATCAAGTGGGAGAGGGAAGGAAGGATATTAAGGAAAATGATTACGGTGTTTTAGAAAAAAATATGACATATTTTTTTTTATAATTAACTAACTTACCTAACCTCCTTAATCTAATCAAATTAGTCAAATAGGTCTTATATTAAGAACTGGGGAGTATATTAGTTTAGAAACACACAAATATTTATACAATTTCAGCAAAACTCAAGAAAAGTTAATGAAATTTATTCTTATGGTCTTTTTCTCAAACGAAGGAAAAAGAGATTGGTTTCATAAGAAATGAGAAAAATGAAGAAAAGACAGAGAAATAACTAAACATACTGTGGTATTGTTATGCGATGCTGAGGACATTTCCGGGAAATCAGCTCATGTAACTGATGAAACGTAACTTGATGAAAACCACAAATAAAGCGTCCTTCAGCATTGCTATTTTCGAATAGGAATATAAGAGCCCTTGTGACATCATCTACGTGTACCATGTATGTGTTTCCAAGAGTTTTGCATTGGCTCTCGTCTCCTGAATAAATAAATTAAACAAAATGTAGCTTTAATTAGCAATACATTGCAAAACATAACATTCGTTGTGGCTTTCTAGATAGTTAGGGTTTTCGGTTCACATGGCACAAATATGACATGCAATAGGTTTTCTCATAATGTCATTTCTCCCTTTTCTATCCATCTGAAATATTTAAAGTAATTTTCTTTCAAAGTTTAAATCTATTTATCAATAAGAATATTAATCTGACAGAAAAAAAGGCACGGATTCTAAACTGTGGGGTAATCTTAATTTCATAATACTGATCATGCGGAGATATTAAAAGTAAAAAAAAAAAAAACCGGATAGAGAATAGAAAATTGGTATCTTTCATATTTGTTAACGTACCTTTTGTATTATTTTCAAAAATAAAAATCTTTTTTGCATAATTTTATTGTTTTAATTGTCGCTTGATTGCAATATAGTATGCTCATTAATCCTCAAGTAATATCCTTGGGAATCATACTACGGTTCTGATTACTGGTAAGTAAAATTCAAATTAAAGAAGATATATGTAAGCCTAGTCAATATGGATAATAGAATGTTAATGCTAAGGGGGAAAAAGATCAAAGCGCATCATATTATTTACAAGCCACAAATTAGTGTGATTCATTTCCCGAATTACATCAAAAAAGGTTCTTAGTCTTTTGATAAATTTTTAAAGGAGTTTATAGGATCTATTTTGCACATCTATCAACACTACAATGAAATTTTCAAAAAATAAAACTTATTTTTCAAATAAAAATTTATACATACATACATACATACATACATACATGTGTATATACATAGAGAGAGAGTCAAAATATTCATACCTTATCTAATAATAAATATATAAAAAATAAAGCTTATTTTTTACAAACACCTTATTTATACATGCATGTGTGTGTAGAGAGAGAGAGTCAAAATATTCATACCTAAGATCATGGAAAGTGCCAAACTAATTGCCGTTGGCATGTTGGGGGCAAGAAAAGGTCCAACAACCAAAGGAAGAACAAAGCTTACAACCTTCATTTTCATCTCATTTTCCTTTCCAAATTCCAACACAGCCTTCTCAGTCAATGTCTTGGAAACGAAATATGAGGACCTCAAAGCAGCGCTTGAACGCCCAATTTCGAGTTCACTCCATGTCGTTTCATCAACCATCTCAATACCTTCAAAGTTCTTAAACATCACTGCGGCTAAACTTGAAGTGAAAATCACTTTCTTTACTGTGTTTGAAATCAGACATGTCCTAAGAATCCCTAGGGCTCCTTCCATGGCCCACTTGGTCACGACTTCCTCCGGCTGCTCGCCTCGCCTGTCCATCGGGTGGGCAACATGGAAGACTCCCACACTCCCTTCAATGGCTGCCTTGAAGCTGTCTGGTTCTTCGAGGTCTGCTTTGAAGATTTGGAGCCTCTCTAGTGCTCCTTGGAGGTTTGTGAGAAAGCTGAGGTCTTTGTTGCTTTCTGATATTATATTATACAAGGTTTTGGTGAGTTATGAACTTATGATCAAATATGTGTGTGTGTGTGTGTGGGGCTACAATTAGAATAATAGACTGATTAAGACAAATATTCAAAACAATGATTATATGTATTAGTAGGAATAATGTTTTTTTCCTTTTGAGAAAATTTAGCTTTGATCGTTTTAGTTTCACTTGGTTTTTAATGCATCACACGGGCCTTAAAAATGATCCCATAATAATAGGAACTCTAATGGTAGATATAGTTTTACTATATTACGGCAAATGATAGAAAACTAGTTTCAAATTATTTAAAGGAACTAAAATACACTTTTAGTCCTTTAATTTTACCTAAGGTTTTATTTTAGTTCTTTAACTTTAAAAATTAAACTTGTAGTCCTCTAACCCTAAAACTATTTTCGAAAAATGATGATATTAAGTTCTTAAATGTTAATAAAATATTATTAAATACTAACATATTAAGTTTATTTTTGAAACAACGATAATTGTTACAAAAAAATAATCATGTAAGACTAATAATTTTAGGGTTAAATGACTAAAAGTGTACTTTTTAAAATTAATGGACCAAACTAAAAACTTACATAAAGTTAAAAAACTAAATATATACTTGAGCCTATTTAAACGTGTTTAAGTCAATTCCTCTTTGGTCAATTATATTCCCCAAATAAGGACGTATATATACAGGACTTTATTAACATATAAGAATCACTGATTGAGACCGTCCATAGTTAAATAACTATCTTAGGATTTAACTATCATTCTCTCAAGAAAATTAATTCTGTAGAAGGTAAATATATGAATATCATTATACTTAACCAAATTTATAGCAAGTTATACTGTTTATAAACCATAAATAGTATCACTCATAATGCACAAAAAATTGGTAGTTATTCAACCAAAAAAATTCGTATATTTGGTTTTTTTTTTTTAATATCGATGTTAATGCACATAAATATATATCTCGGCAGAACATAAAGTTGAGATCACTCTCTCAAGTTTCAAAAGAGATACAAGTTAAAGTAGAGGAAAAAAAATAGAAACCGATTTCGAACTTGAAGTCTTGTGTAGTTGAAAAGGAAAATAGTGTATATCATTAAAATGGAATAAAACTAGAAATGCTCTCTTCTTCTACCCGTGTTATAAGATACAAATAATCAAATTAGCTACATAGAAAAGTTGGTTAATATTAGTTAAAAATGATAAATATGAAGAAAAATGCAAATTCATTTTCAAAAATACGCTTACCCAAAGTCAGCTAGTGGGTGACAGAGAGAATGAGTGAATATGAAGATCAAATAATTAATGCACTAGGACTAATCAATAATTAGTGTGAAAAAAGCTGAAAACTGATATTAAAAATTTTATATAGGATAATAATGTCTCTTACAAGTAAGAATATCCCACCTCTTAAAAAGTTCTCATATATAGGACTTGGAGAGTGTGTGTGTGTACACACACACATATGGACATTTGATGGTTTGTTTTCAGATAATCTACAAATTATACTTCATCGTGGCCGTTTAAGTATACTTCATTGTCATTTACAAAGTGTTACTGAATTCAAATAATCTAAAGGATAAAGAAAGGAAGATCAGTTGCTAGCTGCAGTAGATTCATTTACATCTCTCTTCTCATACTTCAAATCTGAATCTATGATTCTTAAAAGCATAGCATATGTAGAAACAGAATACTCCCTCCGTTCCTTATTATAAGAGACATTTGATGCTTATAGCATGTTCCTATATATAAGAGATACTTAAAAGTTGTCTCTACTTTTTTGTGTTGATTTCCTATTTTACCCATATTTATTATCTCCAACTCACACTCTCTCTCCTTCTCACTTCTCTTTCTTTTAATAATTTAATTGTTCTCTCTCATGCTCTCTCTCCTTATTAATGAGGGCATTTTTGGAAAAAAATTATACTTTTTACACATTAATTGTTCTTAACTAATTTTAACTATTTTTTTTATCAACGTACTTCGGTTATTTGTCTCTTATAATAAGGAACGGATGGAGTATTTTTGAAAGAGCATACAAAGAACGCTAAGTTTTTGTCAAGAAGTGAGTACCTCGATCGGATCTAACAGTAGTACGAACAGAATAGCCTTGTTGAAGAAGCCTCATAATCAGCCAAGAACCTATGAACCCGTTACCTCCTGTAACACAAACTGGACCTTTATCAGCCTCCATATCTCTCTCTCTCTATACTTTTGCTCTCTTAATTTCTGAAGCCAAGAGTTGTGCAGTTAATGCGTCACTGTTATGATGATGGAAGTAAAGGCTGAATAAAAAGGCTCTTAAATACCACATTCCTTGGCGCCACTAAGGGTCCCCACATTTCTTACAGGCCATTCCAGCCATATATTTTAGTTGATGATCATAATAATTTTCATATAAATTGATAGGTTGTTGTACTATAGTTGTACAAAATATATTTATATTTCTTCTCAAAGAACATCATCATGCTCTCTCCAGAGCTGTTCTTTCGTCATTTAGTATACCAGGCCGTCCTCACGGCGTCACCTATCCCTTTTTATTATATTGCTTTAATGTCATTCAGAGATTAAAAAAAAAAAAAAAGAATTATTCGTTGAAGTTAGGTATACTTTCGTTCTATATTCAAAACTAATACGTACAAAATTCCTTTAAATTTTTATCAAAATCACAAAGATTTCTCCACTATTTTTTTGGCCTGAAATTTCTCCACTATTTTCAAATTTGCATCTGTGTTGTGATAGTAGATCTGTACTACCTATACAGTATACTCTCCATGGTCTCACATAATAGGATTCTTCTAGAAGGTATTATTGGGTTTTTTTTTTGATAGTTTTAAGTAACATTAAATATTTTTCCTCTATAGATGATCATATTTAATTAATAGAATAAAACACATCGATCTCCCCTCTATATAACCTAAATTATAGAAATCTTTCTTTTATTTTGAAAACCTATATGAACATTCCTTACAATCAAAATATATGTTGATTTTAATGCCAAATTAAAAGATAATTTTAATTCATATTTTAATATTTTTTGTCATACTGTTAAATTGATAACCATATTACAAGTTTAGTTAATTCATAGATAAATTTTTTTAATAAATTTAATCTTGTTTATTTATCAAAACTTACTTGTGATGTAATATTTTAAATATATATATATATATATATATGTTCATTGAAAATGTTTTGCAATCTTATATATGCATTTTGCAATCAAGTTGTTGGTATTCAAGTTACTTAAATTTTGTCCAAATTTAGTAAAAATATTAAATAGTGTTAAATATGGTTAGTTATGATGATGTCAAATATTAAAGAAAAAGTTTGAATAATATATATATCTCTCTCTTTATTTGACTAAATACTATATTTAAGGTGATTATCTTAGGGAAAATGGCAAATAAAGGCCGCCAATATATGAAATTGTTATTTGGGTTCCTGAATTTGGAAAATGGCTTCAAAGGACTTGGTCCCATATTGCAAATATGAAATCATGGTGAAATATTTGAAATACCCCTCAGCTCATTGGAAGGAAAAAAAACTTGTCTGCACTCTCTGCCCCCAATTACGATAACTTCCCTCTACTCTGTCCAGTCTCTCCATTCTCTGCACTCTATCCATTTTCGCTGAGGAGTTTGCTTCCATTTTTGCAGTAACAACATCGATGAGAGGAGTATTGTGTGAGAGAAGAGTGTATTTATTGTGGGAGAGGCAAACAGAGTAGCAATCGAGTAGTGATCTGTTGGCATTGTTGAAGGCAGGGGGAGTTAGAGGCATCATCGCACAGTTGGTGGCAATCAATCAAAATTTTGAAAATTTTTAGAAAACCAGATTTTTCATTAAGCACAGAAAAACACAACACAATCACTGAACATCAATCCCTCCCCTACACTTGAACTTTGCATTGTCCCCAATGCAAAACTCAAGTACAACCCTAAATAAGAGAAACCAAAACCAAAAAGGGAGGAAAAGAAAAGAAAAGAAAACAAACTACTTTTACTACTGGCTATGTCCCTCCCCCACACTTATCTCACAAAATAAGCAAATAATTCAAAAGATAAGAGTTAAGGAAGGAAAGGGACAACCTTTAGAATGAAATGTCTTCAAACTCTTGAAGGAGAAATTCTCATCCCGGATGAGAAACATGCATTTCTTCAGTGTGCTTACTTCTCCTTTATTGATCTTCCTTAGTAGAGGTGGTGTGGAGTCCTGCAAGCAAGTAGAACCAACAGCAGTACCACATCCAGAAATAGAAACATGAAGAGGATAAAAATGAAATAAAGACAGGTTAGAAGTTAATCTCTCCAAGTAACTATCACAACCAAGGAAATCAATAGTACTCCCATCAGTAGGAGTCAAATTTTTATTTAAATTTTTGAAATACTCAAGCTTATGTGAAGTGGAAGCTGAAGAATCCAACTGACAGTTGTTGGAGTACAGTACATCACTATCACATTCACAAGAGGTAGTGTTTGAAAGGAAAGAAAAGAAAGAACAAAATGATTTATGCAAACTACTATTTACAATGCAAGATAAATCAGGAGGTAAATCACAAGATAAAACTTGTTGGAAAGACTTATTGATATTCATGATTTTATCAATTGAAACTTTAAAGCCTTTCTCAACATTATTAAAAGCTATGAACTCATTGGAATTATCATGAATTTGATTCTTAAGGCAATAGTTAGGTCCACATTTTTCCACA